GGAGCCCCGATCGTAGCGTCCTTGCTCCTAGTAGCGATGCCAAGAGCTTCTAGTAGCGAACCTTGTTCCTAGTAGTACGGCCAGGAGCCCCGATCGTAGCGTCCTTGCTCCTAGTAGCGATGCCAAGAGCCCCTAGTCCCCTAGTAGCGAACCTTGTTCCTAGTAGTACGGCCAGGAGCCCCGATCGTAGTGTCCTTGCTCCTAGTAGCGATGCCAAGAGCCCTTAGTCCCCTAGTAGCGAACCTTGTTCCTAGTAGTACGGCCAGGAGCCCCGATCGTAGCGTCCTTGCTCCTAGTAGCGATGCCAAGAGCTTCTAGTAGCGAACCTTGTTCCTAGTAGTACGGCCAGGAGCCCCGATCGTAGCGTCCTTGCTCCTAGTAGCGATGCCAAGAGCCCCTAGTAGCGAACCTTGTTCCTATAGTAGTACGGCCAGGAGCCATGATCGTAGCGTCCTTGCTCCTAGTAGCGATGCCAAGAGCCCCTAGTAGGGAACCTTGTTCCTAGTAGTACGGCCAAGAGCCCCGATCGTAGCGTCATATTGCATTATATTGCTACATAGTGCCCATGCTCTTGCTTTCGATGTGCGGATGCGCCGAGGTAAAACCTTCATCGCCGAGTGCTAAGGAGTGCGTCCGGTCGCGTGGATGGTCGGCCGTGGTGTGCAGCCATCAACTCCAGCAGATCGATACAAAAAGGGAGTGTGGTGACCACAGTGCAGCGTCACACGGTACTTTTCGTTTATCTTTAGTTCGTCAGACATCGTATCGTCATGATACTGACAAAATAATCAGAGAAGGCCTCCACACCACTCGAGCAGGTTTCACAGAAGAGTTTTTTTCGCAAACGACGCCTGCGCGCCACAGGAGATGGAGATTAGACCTCCAGAATCTCAGGAGAAGCATGGGAAGCTCAGACCGGAAGCGAACCTCCTAGAAGCTACTAGTAGCAAAGGGCATTTCTACGAACGGAGCAAGAAGCTGCTAGGGGCGCTGGCCTTACTAGTAACAAGAAGCTTTTTAGGTCTTTGAAGCTTCTTAGTAACAATCTTCGTGCCAGCTTTGTGAAGCTGTCTGGAAGGGAACGTGCGCTGCTGGAACGGACGGAAGGTGCAGACATCACAACTGTCACAGACGGAACATGCTGAGAGCCCCTCCACAAAAGTAACTGTGATGGGAGTTGCTGGCAGAAGCAACCAAAGAACTTGGTGCATGCCCCTAAAATACTGCTTTTGGAGACCAAAAGCCACCAAACCGAACCAGCTCACACCTGTTTCACACCATATCCAGATCCCTTCGAAATCCGAAGGAAAACACCGAGGCCCTGCAACAGCTGGAGACTACGGCAGCATCGGAGGGCGCGGCCATGAGACGCGAGGCGTCTACGCCGCTCGCCGCGAGGCGAGACGTGTACTCACGTCTCCGCCTGCAATATCCAATGGGATGCATTTCAGATGAAAGAAAACCACCAAAAAACACAATATTCTTTTGAATTATATACTAATAGCAATGGCCTCCAACCTAGAATGGCCTCCAAAGCTAAGAGCGATGGGATGCATTTCAGATTGGAACACTGTTCAGTGACGGTGTGGCATTTATTTGGACCAACAGATTTATTTCAGCATACAAGATGTTCAGACAGAAAAGGCCGCACTTGCCTTTTTGCTTTTTGCTTACAACTTTCTTGGTCCAAATTGGCAGTTGCACAAGTGCATAGCTCCCTTATATATCTCCATGCTCGAGAATTCTGAGCGGGGGAGTAGGATTGGATCATTCCGTCTGAGACCGCGGCTCAACGGAGATGAAGAGCCAGTCAACGAAGATTGTGATGCGAACTGTCATCTCATGTTGTGGATACTTGAGGATAGATGTAGTAAGGCCAGTTTCGCCCCGATCGTAGCGTCCGATCGCTCCGATCGTAGCGATGCCGTTGTGCCTTGGCTTCTTCACAGAGTCATTTCAATAGATTTAAGAAGACGAGAACGCCGCCACTGCCTCCAGTTCTTCACGTCGAGCGCAGTCTACGGAGCCGAGAGATGCCGAGAGGTCACGGTGATGGACGAAATGACCCACTGATGACGGGCATCATTCCAAAGTGCCTCCTGATGCATAGCATTATTGTTACTAGTAGTAAGGCACTTGTTACTAGAAGCGATGCACTTGTTTCTAGTAGCTTCTTGTTTGTCATTTGCAAGGAGTTTGTGTTTGGATGGTGTGCTCGCAAATTGCAGCAGCTTTCACATTGGCTTCCGTGTGTCCGTTTTTCTCCTTTGCGGGCACCTTGAGTTTTCAAGCCAGCTCTTTCCGGCCCTTGTTGCCAGCAGCAGAGCTTTCTCATGCAGAGAGTGTGGAGTGGTGGTCCAGAGGCTATTGATGGTTTTGCTGAACAAGATCAACAATTTTTTTAATCAGCACCAGACCCTATTTTGCATTGTTTCTTGGTTGTGACTCGAGAGTTGTTTGTTCCTTGAGCCTAGCTTTCCGCTGGCTACTTGTATGAGCCAGCCTCCTCTTTGTTTTTCATGCCGATTGAAGGTGTTCAAACATGGGCAGAATCTGATCTAGCGATGGCCTCCAACCTAGTAGCGATGGCCTCCAACCTAAAGCGATGGCCTCCAACCCAGTAGCGATGGCCTCCAAAAAAGTGATGTCCTGCAACCGAATAGCGGCGCACATTTTTGCCAACTGCGTGTGAACGGCGCACACTTGCCATTCGTGGCCTCCTTTGAATCACATCTCCAGCAAGCTTGCTGTTCTCTTATGCCTGGAACATTTGCGATTGATGTGCAAGTGTTGAAAGAAGGCTGCGCCTTGAGAAAGAAGGAAAGACCGAAGACCGATCATACTTTTCCAGACATATTTGGTATAGTTGCCACACCTGCACGCCACCAGTGAGACACTAGAAATGGCTTGCCCTGAGAGAGCAAACCTAAGGAAGAGGCTTAAAGGAAAGAAAAAGGTTCTAAGAGCGATGGCCTCCACACTAGTAGCGATGGCCTCCAAGGTACTTGAAGCCTGGCCGAAGAGTTTTGGACAAAATCAAGGCTGACAAAATGGCCTTGCTACTAGGAGCTACCAGGAGCAAGAATGCTACTAGAGGCTCCTGGCATCGCTACTAGGAGCATTCTTACTAGTAACGAGAAACTACTATTGCTCATTTAAGCACTGCCAGACGAGACAACCCACATGAGATGACCCGAACGGCTGCTCTGACCTACGAAACGCAACGCCACGGGCCGATGCACTTGCTCGTATGGCTCAGCACGGGAGTGTTCCAACCGGCACCTACGGTGGGGAGACCTAGTAGTAGAGTCCTTGCTCCTAGTAGCGATGCCCTTTGCTCCTTAGTAGCTTCTTGCTCCTAGTAGTAAGGCCAGGAGCCCCTAGTAGCG